CTAGTTCGGGGAACAGACACTCTGTAGTATGATACAGTCTCTATAGTATGATATCTAGGTGTAGGAGTCTCTATGTGCTGAAAAATTAACTGACTTCTGTGATGTGAGGTGGCTAGCAGACGTTCTGTTTAGCCAGTCTGTCTGCTTCCTGACCTGGGCCAGGTCAGGAAGTACAAACTCTAAGACTATGTGCCATATTTCTAGAGAAGTGCGGCACCACCCCTGGAGGGATGAAGACCATCTCTTTTTAACAGGTCAGGTCTGCCCCAAAAACTCATCCAATTGTCTAAGAGACCTATGTTAATCTGTGAATGAGGTCCACAAAAAAATCTTAGTTTCACAAACATTAATTAAATTAAAAAATAAATAAAATGAGATTTGTAAATAAAAAACATATTCACAAATATATTTTTTGTCACAATTTAACACAAATTCACCTGGCATTCATTTGTGGATTTTGAAACATTTCTAGTGTCAAGACGTGCTGACAAATCCGTGGTCTCCACCCACCATCTACTCAAGCCAATCAGATAATATCCACACTTTACTGAGCAATCGTAGCGTGTTCTTGCGATAGTCAATCACGTTTTGCTTTACAAATTATGGCGGTCTCACCCTGAAATAACTTTACTCATTCATCTGCATTGGCTCAAATAGGAAATATAAGGGCCATAAAAATTGGTACAGTAAAATATTTGGATTTCGTTAAACCATTAGACTGTGTATCAAGCCAAGGCACAGTATTATATTTTACGTGTCTTTGAAAATGCCAGAGAAACAGCGCTTTACAATTCAGCTATGGAAACAACGCTATACTGGATACAAACGCGTTATGGAAGCATCATGTTATTCAAGATGGAACAAAAAGTGTCAATAAGTAACTAACCAATAAATAACTATTTAAGCGGAAGTGTGGAGCACGAGTAAACAGGTCACCTTTTCCACTTTACTACTAGCTATAGCACTGTGAATAAACTTCAGAAGGTATGTTGAAAGATACAGTACAAATTATTAAAATGCATCATGACTCATTTGAATCAACCACTGGCAACAAAACAGCTTGTGAACATATAACGCTGTATTTACCTCAGGAAAGTATCCAACGTCCATAGCTCCTTAGTTCACAAGAGAAATAAACTCTAGAGAGTAGTATTTTGCTTTTATCGATGTAATAGTAAATACAGATTTTAAATGGCACTTAACTCTATTCAATATTACTGCTGTGGAATTTTAAATAAAACGTTACAAAGGTAATGTTCGGGTGGAGCCTCAGGTCTTGACAGGCAGTTAGCATGGTGGTCACTGCTCAGTCAGTCATAGTAGTCAGTTTGACTGCATTGTGCTAAGGAGACCAAGCACCAGCAAGCCCAAAATGTGTCTGTGACAGACCATATTACAAGTGACTCTATTAAAAAAACAAGCCCAAAGTGGCTTATAATAAGTAGACATGGATAATTAGCTCTAACAAATATAAATCAAGTTTTTGCTTAGAAAAGCATTTATTTCCCTAGGGCTGCTAAAAACTCTTGTAGACACAATTGTTTGCACTCGTTTGTGGTGGCACACACACACACACACACACACACACACACAGAGAGAGAAAGAGGGAGATACATATAGAGTACAGCCAGCCCCTAGATGGACACAATCCATTGGTTTCTAAATCTAGATCTAGTCTATATCTGCTTGTCATCTAAAGTGCTGCTCCTGCTCCACTGGCTAGTGGGGGAGGAATGTTATATATGGATTTAGAAAGCATGGACAGTAAGGTCATATACTACAATGGTTTCTCAAAGACACACAGTGCTTTTACTAGCTGTGACAATAACTGACTTTTAATCATTTGCATGAAAAAAAAGCAGTTTTTTTTTTTTTTTTTAGGGGAGGCAAGTCAAGTTATTTGAACTGCATGCTGCTGATTACCATACCATTAAAAAATGCATTGCCAGAAATGTACTTACAATGTACACTACTGTCCAGGGTCAGTAAGTGTTATTTTATTTATTTATTCATTTATTTATTGAAAGAAATTAACAAATGTATTCAAAGACAATTAAAATTATAAAGACATTTATAATGTTACAAAATATTTCTGTCAAATAAATTCTGTTCTTTTGACCTTTCTATTCATTTAACGCATTAAAACGTCTTTGTTTTTAATAATTAACATGAATCTTGAAAGTAATCGGACACAAACATTCTGATGAAAATGTATATTGTGTAATTGATGCGAATCAAGTTATTTGAACTGCATGCTGCTGATTACCATACCATTAAAAAAATGCATTGCCAGAAATGTACTTACAATGTACACTACTGTCCAGGGTCAGTAAGTGTTATTTTATTTATTTATTCATTTATTTATTGAAAGAAATTAACAAATGTATTCAAAGACACTTTAAATTGATTAAAAGTAACATTATAAAGACATTTATAATGTTACAAAATATTTCTGTCAAATAAATTCTGTTCTTTTGACCTTTCTATTCATTTAACGCATTAAAACGTCTTTGTTTTTAATAATTAACATGAATCTTGAAAGTAATCGGACACAAACATTCTGACGAAAATGTATATTGTGTAATTGATGCGAACGTCTGCTTAGTTTAACTCCGTAATACTACATGTAAACCAAAGGAGGTACCTGGTGTGAAAATGCTGTTGTTGAAATGTTAGCAGCTGTTCGTTCTCTCCCAAACTAAGAGCCGCAACAAGAGAGTTGTCCTCACATTGTGGGTATTTAAAGCATACACAGATCACATGTGCAATCAGACACTGGACAGAAGGGATGTGTTTTTGGAAAGCTGAGAGAGAGCGAGAGAGAGAGAGTGCAGTCAAAAAAGGAAGCTAAAGCCAACCACATTCCCAACACAGCTGAATAAAGAAATGGCCGAGGAAGGAATTGGCTCAGATTAAGAATTGCCTGCTTTCTTCAAATGAAAGCTGTGGAAAGAGTGGAAGACTAGGGGAAACTAGGGGACGATAACATCCTTCCCCAAATCTCTGGACCTCACCTCACTGTTGGAGCGTGTTTCTGAGTGCTTGTGTGAGAGTGACGCCACACTATGTGGGCACTAGTGACTGAGCTGCTGTTCAGCTTCGTGCTGTTGGCCTTCATGGTCATCAGCTGCCAAAACGTCTTGCATATCGCCAGCAGCTCTGTCCGATCGGTGCTGGCCTGCATTCACACTCAACTGGATCGTGAGCTGGGTGAGAATGAAAGTGTGGCTGATGAAGAGGAAAATGTCACCACTCGAGTTGTGCGCCGCAGAGTTATATTGAAGGTACCGATGGTTGTTGTTGATATTTAAACCCGGAATATTTCTTAAAGACGCTGCCCTAAAAGAGAGACTTCAGCTGTAGTGAAATGTGTAATGTTGTAAATCTAGGGGATTACAGTGATGCTTGGGTGGTTGGTTTCAGTTTCATTTGGCCTCATTTGAGTGCACTCCTGCAAACAAGCATGAAATGCCAGTGGTCTGTAAGAACAGTAGTACAGTGCACAAATAATTGATTCGTTGTGAGTAAAGAATTATTCTTATAGAACATTATTGTGAATGTTAAAGCAGCCATATGGCACTAAACACTGGATGTTACAGGCTCTGTATTAGAGGTTAGTCTAGTCATTGACACATGTTGAATTCCAACATTCCTCATATACATCTTTCTTGCACTTTTTCACATAAAAAGTTTTGTAAATTTGTTAGGTTTTATACATTATATAAAAGATTGGCAACCTTTCCTGTCTGCTGACCTCCTGAAGGATACTTTTTTAAAGGGGTCATGACATGCTTTTTTTGGTCACACTTTAGTTTAGGGATCATTTCTCACTATTAACTGCGACTTTTGCCTCCATAGACTCCTAATTTGCTGCTGAGTCAGTAAGGTAGTTGTTAAATTTAGGTATGGGGTGGATTAAGGGATCTAAAATATGCTCATGCAGAATAACCAGTGTTTTCAGTGTAACATGGGATAAAATCTGTTAACATTTTAGGAAGAATGCAATTGATTTATATCATCAACAGCTGCAATCAAATCAGTACATTTCACAAACGAATCATTCATTGCAATTTGCAAACAATTCAGCGGGTTCATTGAAAAGAATCAGTTTGATTGTGAATCGGATATCATTATCATATCATATCTGTCAGTTTCTTCAGTTTGACATAACAAGGAGCAAAAATGTTTTATTAAATATAATAGGGGAAAAAAGTATGGTATTATGCTTTGAAATGTAGTAGATTAAACATTTCCCAAATGAAAAATACTCATATATAACAGATACTTAAAAAAAAAGTACTTAAATACAGCAACAAAGTTAAAATACGTTGTAGGTGTCCTAGTAAATATAATGCATGTAAGACTTAATGACTAATTTTTTAATGTTTTCATTTCATGCATTTAATCATTAAATTGTGCTTTTTTTTTCATTATTTTAATTTGGTATTGGCATTTCTATCACCCTGCATCACAAATCCACAATACCACCTGGAAACACTGGTAAACAGTGATGTATCCCACTCATGATAGATACATTGACCTCTGTATCAAAGCTTTAGCTTTTGCATGGGTGGTTTGTCAGTGTTTCGTTTAAAATCATTTATGTTGTGTTTATAAGTCTGTAATTTGCTCCTGTTTTTACTGCGATTGCAATGGTGCACCGAGGAATAAATCTGACGATACATATTCATCTTTTTCAGATATGTTTATTACAGAGAGCAGAATAATTCCCTTAACAGCAGCTTTAAGCTGTGAAATCTGAAACCAGCACCCAGCTGATGATCACTCTCTGGAGTCCTTGTTTGCACAGGAGCGTTGTAGTTGAATAGTGATACACTGCTAATTTTAAAGGCAGATTTTAAATACGGATCATTTTGACCTTTAGCCAACATATTTTGACAAGACACAGGATGGTTGCGAGCATGTCAAACCAAAGAATGAATGAAGCACACAAAGGACCATGTCACCTTTTTAAGTTGCTTTTATCATATCTCATCTAGGGTGATGAGGCAGAGGATCTTCCAGGAGAGCAAGTGAGCGAGGAGCAATTTACAGATGAGCATGGCAACATCGTCACCAAAAAGGTCAGCAGTCTCATCCTGCTTCTTTGCCTGCAGCAAAGTCATTTCCGCTCATTCGCATGTGAAATCCATCTCAAATGCATCTCAGTAATCATTTTGTTAAGCTTTGCAAATGAAAATTGTTGCGTTTCTTGCTCTGTTCCAAAGCTTAATGAGCTGCCCTCGTAGACGTAGGACTCAGGATGTTTTTGCCTTTCAGTCAGTCACGTTCAACGTTACATCAGAATTACTGACGAATTGGGATCTCGTCTGAGAGCCCAATCACCTTTGATTGTAACAAAACAAGCCAATGGACATTGGCATGCGAGATTTGCATCGCACATCCCGTCCGCACAGCGGTGTATATAAGGAAAGGCGTGTGCAATCACACATTCAGCTTTTTGCTTCAGAGCCGAGTGTTTGTGTTCTAAAGCAATCGTCTGAGAGTGAGCAGTACGAGCGTTTGGAAGCTCTGTAAAATGGTGTTGGTGTGACGGCACGTCAGCGGTGGTCGCGTTCGTTGGTGCATTTCCTGTTGCCACTGGAGCTTTCTAAAAGAGCCTTCTGCACACTGCAGATAAGTAACGGTATGTCAGTTGTGTTGCGACCTTCCCCTGGTCGCTTCAGAACTTGAAAAGAGCAATCTCCCTAAAAGAGTGACACGAGTGTGACGTTGCGTCTTTTTAAAGATGTCATTCCACCCGTGTGTTTCTGGATTGTCTGATAGTCACAATCGCTGTCTCACGTGCCTGGCTTAAAGCATGCTGATCTGGCTTTCGTGGATGAGTCAAGTTCCCATTGCGGGAAAATTACCATTGTGATGTTGTGGTCAAGGCTCGAGTACCTCAAACGAGGTAGATTCCCCTCTGTTATACCCTGATCTAGTTCCTCCTCACGGGGGAAGACTACTTCAGCGAATAGCCAGGGCGGCCTGAGGATCACAGTGTGGGCTCCCCTGCCGAGTATGTCTCTGTGGGCCCCTCACTCCTCTAGCACATCGCAAGCTGTGAAGCTTCCGGATTACGGTGCTGGTACTTTTAATGGGGGACCTAGCATCTCATTCGGGGCTCAGGCAGTGGACTGGATGTTGATCGCTGCATCGGAGTGTGAGCTAGAGTCCTCAGAGTATGAAGATTTGGCTGCGTTGCCCCCTTTGGGGAAGGTAGCGTTGACCGAGTCATACCCAGAGCTGACAGCTATGCTTTCCCAGGACGCCGAGAGCATTGGACTATTGTGGAAGCCTCCACCGTGTCCCGAACGTTTGAGGCTGGATGATTGGTACCTGGGGATGCAACACGCTGACCATCAGCATCCATCCCCGGTACCTTTCTTTCCGGAGGTGCATAAAGAGGTAACTAAGTCGTGGAGGGCACCCTACTCTGCCTGAAACCAAGCCAGTGCTTCTTCCACCCTCACTACCCTCGATGGTGGAGTGGCCAAGGGATAAGTCAAGATCCCCCCAAGTCGAGAGAGCTATTGCAATGCAGTTGTGCCCGCAGAGTGCTTCCGCCTGGCAGGGTAATCCGCATCTCCCATCCAAGGCCTGTAAGTTCTCGTCCACACTTATGGCCAAGGCTTACAAAGCTGCTGGACTGGCTTCTTCTGCCTTGCATGCCATGGCCCTCCTGCAAGTTTATCAGGCCAAAGCACTCAAACAAATGCACAAGGTTAGTTTTGACCCAGGTTTGATGCAGGAGCTGCACACATCGACAGACCTCGCCCTACGTGCGACAAAAGTCATTGTGCGGTCCCTGTGTCAGGTAATGTCCACCCTGGTGGTCCAGGAATGCCACCTATGGCTGAACCTGGCAGATATGAGGGAGGCCGACAAATACAAATTTCTTGACTCCCCGATCTCCCAGGCTGGCCTCGTCGGCGATGCAGTCGAGAGCTTTGCCCAACAGTTCTTGCCCACACAACAGCAGATGGAGGCAATCAAGTACACCCTGCCCCGGCGGCCCGCTGCTGTCTCCACCTTGCCGCTGGCTGCAGCCCCTCCATCTGTTTGTCACTGTGGGTGCCCTCCTGCGGCCCCCACCTCTTCTCCCACACGGCCACAGCAGTAGCCTCCACTCAAGCCGCAGCGTGGAGCTGGCCACAGGAAAGCGGTGCAGCCCGTTTCGGCCCCTACCAGGCCTGTATAGCATCAGAGCTAGTGCATCCCTCAGATGGGTGACCTAGGGATACAAGATCCTACTTTTCAGGAGATGGTGATTGCACCACTCCTTCCCCCGGAGGAGGGCCGGGCGCAGAATCTTTTGTTAAGTTTGAGTTCTGTTCCACCACTGGCCTCACAGCCAGCGGTACCCAAAATTTCATGAAAAGAGGAGTTTCCTCTTTCTCTGGGTCCCAAGAGGGCGTGGATTGCAGTGTGCGACGCTGCGCCTCGCCACTCTCATCCCCCTCTTCGGTCGCCAGGAGGCAGCAGGGCGCGGTTCGAGAACACCATGCCTTCTCATGCACCCTCTGTTATCCAGAGTATTATGTGGAGGGAACAGAGACGTTATGTCCCGTCGCCACAATTGCTGTACCACCGTTGAACACCTGGGACACACCATCTTGGCTCCTCAGCAAAAAACTGAATGTGCGATTGCGCACGCTCTCCCTTATATACCCACTGTGCGGGAGGGGTGCACAATGCAAATCTCGTACACAAATATTGTCCATTGGCTCGTTTTGTTACACTCAAATGTGATTGGGCTCTCAGGCGAGATCCCAGTTCATCAGTCGTTCTGACATAACATCTCTGTTCCCTCCTTCAGGGAACGAGGGTTACATACGTAACCAAGATGTTTCTGAATTCTATATACAGCCCCTTTAAATGACAGATAACTAGTCAATGCTGCTAGCTGAGTGTTTCTAATAAACGGCTTGGGGAGTTTCATTCATCTATGAATGACAAATATGCATCACATAAAGTTTATTAGTTTCTTTATGTTAAGACTGTGTAATCCAAATACATAATTTTAAACATATTATGCATTATATTATACTGTCTATGTGTCTATGTAAAGCACTTAAATGTGCCACATGGGGTTAGGAAGGTGTCTGTATAGGTAGCAGACAGCAAGGCAGCTCACTAAACTTTGAAACGGTTCTTAAAGTCAACATGAAGTAAAAATTGAATATTGAGTATATCAGTAGCGGTTGACAAAGAAACGCATGGTTATGTTGAGATACTCTTGAGGGTGAACCTTGGGTGACCATATGTGCCATTTTTCCTGGACACGTCCTGGCCAGGATTTTTATATTGCCTAAAATATCCAGGTTTTGGCTTTGTTTTCCTCTTTTCATACTGGCTGAAGGTAATGATCGAAAAGTAGTTTGACCAATAACATGCAGGAATTGTACATAATCGACCAATCGTGGCGCGTGAGAAGGTGGGATCTACAGAAAACGGTCAAAGCAATGCAAATTCCTCACAAATGCACATATTAGGTGTGTTTGACTTGAAGCAGTGCTGTGCAGAACTATTGGTGTATGACATCAAAGAACTGCGAGAGCGATTCGAAAGCATAAGGAGTGTCTGCTTTCTATAGCTCTCACAGTACTTTGATATCATAACACCGATTGGTCTGCGCAGAGTAAACAAAGCCAAAACCTGGATAGTTTAGGCAATATAGAAATCCTGGCCAGGACGTGTCCAGGAAAAATGGCACATATGGTCACCCAAGGTGAACCTGACTTGTAAATTACTTTGACATTACTTTTGCATGTTTATTACATTGTTTTTCATCTTCTCCTTCATTCCTTCTCATGCACCCTCGGCTCATCCACCAATTGTCAATGATCTCACCCATCCGTGACGTAGATTGTGAGGAAGGTGGTCCGGAGAGGAAAAGGGGAGGAAGGGGGTCAGGAGCTCATCATAGAAGGGCTGTCGCAGGATATCAATGAGCCAGACGTTGATGGAGAACAGTACATGAGCTATGCCATCCTGGGCCGTGACAGCAAGGTGGGCTTTTGAGTTAGCTGGGCTTGTTACGCCAGGACTTACAGGATGTGGTGCTTTGAGGAGGAATATGCTGCTAGATGCTTGAATATAGTAAAGCCTTAGACCAGGAAACACCAAAGTTTTTTCTTTTTTCTTTCTTTTCCCTTTTTTTTTTTGCATTATAGATCTTATAGAAGATGCAGTCTATAGATGTGCTCCACATAAGACTGAAGATTATAGTGTATCTGCAAGAATGCTCCATGAATCCTTTAAAGGAAATTAAACATTTCACCTTTAAGAAACACAACAAGAGTTCTCCAGGTTATTGAAGAAAAGGACATTTGTAAGGAGAAATAACATGTCCCAAGTTACTGAAATTCTGGGAGGACAATACATGCTCTGGATAATGTGAGAAGCTTGTAAGCCTGTATAGATGCACTTTAAACTTTAGAAACTTTTAATAAATTTGTCCTTAATATTAGAATTTTAAGTAATCATATCATTGGAGTTCAGTGCTTAATATCACCCCAGTGCATCATTGTTATACTTTCTCTTGGGCACTTTTTTCATTTCCTGATTTTCTTTCCGTTCCAAATAGAGGACTCAATCAGAACCAGAATTAATGATGTTCAGTGTGATTTGGAGAAAAATAACATTGCATTTTGCAGGCCTAATGTTGTGCCATTTAATAGGACCATGCTACTCTACTCATACTACTATTTCTGCAGTATGTACTGTGCAAACTAGCTGTATGCATGGAATACTGACCTATTTGCAGTATACAGAAGAATCCATTTCCAAAATCATCAACCCATATTTAACACCTTTTTCTTTACTCACTATTTAATCTGACTGGCAAATGGTGTGACATTTCGCACAAAGTTGGAATATTTTATTTAAATTAAATGTATTGATTGTATTATTAATTTCATTTAAATGTATTTCCAAGAACATGACTGGAAATTACTCACTAAATTAAACATACTGAAGTCCTGTGTTGCATACTACTGAATACTGCATACACTCTAAAAAAAAAATGCTGTGTTGTGTCAACCCAACTTTGGGTCAAATATGGACTAACCCACCCATTGAGTTACATTTTTTAATTAAAATTTTAACCCAAAAGTTGGGTTAGTCTATATTTGACCCAAAGTTGGGTTGAAACAACACAGCATTTTTTTAGAGTGTATTGTTTCACATACTATTTTTAAATACACTGGAAAAAAATGGTAAAATCAAAAATATTATGCAACATCACTAAACCAACCTATAAACATTTATACAACAAAACCATTTTTATGGGTTAAATGAAGTATATTTAAGGTAATAATTACAGGTTACCACTTTTTACAGTGTAGTAAGCACTATGCAGTGTATACTGTGGAGTATGTGGTAAGCAATGCATTAGTATTCATTCTGTACAAAGCCTATGCTGCTTGTGACTTTTAGGAATGAGACTTTCAGATCTTGTAGAGGAAATGACATCACCGGGTTGATTTCATATGTGATTCCTCTTTGTGGGCGTCCCAGTTAACCCTCATTGATAACTTCATTTGATGTTCATTATCATTCGTTTCTATATGGTTCATGTCACGTTTCCCTGTATGCGCTCGATTTGAATTAAACTTCTCTTTGCCCAGACTGTGAATGTGCCCGTCCTTCTGTGCTGGCCTTTTCTGATGCAATTTGCTTTTCTCTTTCTATCCTGTTCTCTATATCCTCTCCCATTTATTTTCTCCTGAACCATGCCTCTCTTCTCCATGCTGTCTTCTTGTTTTGTGTGTTATATGCACGTTCTGCTTATTGAACTTGATCTCTTTTCCGTTAACACATCACCTAATTGTTTCACTTTGCCCTCTTCCATCTGTTCCGTTACTCCTTGTTACTCATTCACACTCCCGTCCCTTCATTTCTCTGTGCTCCCCTGGATCCGCTCCTCTCCTCTCCCGCCCCACCTGCCCTCCGCCATAGCCGGATGTTGTGGATGTGAAGAGGGGAGGTACTCAAATAGTCAAATGTGCGAGTCTGCGGAGAGTAAAGCAGTGAGTCTGACTCGCTCCTCCCTCCAGGTACAGGATATTGCTGCACTTTGTGCTAATGTAATCCTCCTAACCAAAGGGATTCAGTTAAAAAAATCAGATTTTTCCAACTCAGGCCTGAACACCATTACTGATCAACAAAGTTGCCAGTTTTTAAACTATTACCCTCAATCCTAAATATGCAGTTATATCCTTTCTAAGTACAAATAGTTATTTAGCATTCCTAAGCCTGATCCTAAAGTACTACTCTACTGTTCAAATGTTTGTGGTTTTTAAGAGTTTTTAATGTTTTTGAAAGCCTCTTAAAGTGATAGTTCACCCACAAATTAAGAAATGTATTAGTCATTTACTCACCCTCAAGTTGTTCCAAAGCTGTATGAATTTATTTCTTCTGTTGAACAAAAAAATACATTTTAAAGAAAGTTGGTAGCTAACTAAAGTTGCTGGTAGCCATTGACTTCTATAGAATTTTTTTTCCCCCATACTATGGAAGTCAATGGCTACCAGCAACTGACTGGTTACCAACATTCTTAAAAACATCTTCTTTTCTGTTCAACAGAAGAAAGAAATTCATACAGTAAATGTCAGAAATGTTGGGGTAGACTATCCCTTTAAGTTCACCAAGGCTGCATTTGTTTGATAAAAACACAGTAAAACGGTAATACTGTGAATTATTTTTACAATGTAAAATAACTGTTTTATGTTTTAAACTGTAATGTATTTCTGTGATGCAAAGCTGTATTTTCAGCATCATTCCTCCAGTCTTCAGTGTCACGTGATCTTCAGAAATCATTCTAATATGCTGATTTGCTGCTCAAGAAACATTTCTGATTATTATCAATGTTGAAAACAGTTGTGCTGCTTTAATCAGTTTAATGCATCCTTGCTGAAAAGAATTTCTTTAGAAGAAAAAAATACTGACCTCAAACTTTTGAACTAGATAAAAAGGGTGAATTCATAAACTTCTAAACAGATATAGATATACTTAAGAATAGACAACTATATGAATTCATATAGCATCACTCAATTATTATAATTATTTATATAAAATATAATAATTTCAATAAATGCAGAATTTGGGTAGATAGCAAGGTTTTGTTTTTGGTAATGAATTTGACACAAATTGACTAATATTCTGATATAAAAGACTATTTTAAACAATTTTTAATAAATAATTTGACTACATTCTATCTTGTTAATAATAGCTATCGTAAGTCATTGGGAGATAACGCACCGCTCCTGAGAATGAATCAGTTATTAGGTTGTTTGAATTTATAATTGTCTTATAAGATGAATCAAAATATTGAATTATATTATCAAGCAGTATTGAGGCCATCAGATCCAACTTTGTTAATATATAAGACGTTCTGTTCCAAAAAAATATACTGATAACCTGTTTAGTTACAGCTAGTAAGTGCGTTTTAAAGGAACAATGTCTCAAATAATTTATTGGACAATGAAAGCAATAGTGGCCTATAAAAATCATCTGAGTGAGCATGTGTAGGCTATGATAATAGCTGGATTTTAAAATAAAAATGAAACCTTTAAGCATAGAGGTACATACACTAATTGTGTATAAGGTGTGCCCCAAAGTTATGTTGTTGGATGTTGTGCTTTCTTAGCCCACGTTTCACCTCACTGCATTAACTTCTAAATTCCTCTGACATCTTGTCCATTTCCAACTAATATTGGAATAATATCGTTCCCTTTTAGTTACAGAATAACTCTTGATTATGTATTTTACCCATGGTCATGATCCTATGGAATGTATACAGGATCCTATTCCTGTCCTCTCATAATTTGGAATCCCAATGGGATCTAATAAGAATCATACTAGAATTGAAATTGCAGAATTTTGTATTCTTGTTAGATTTGTGTAACGTTTACATTTATTTTTGCAGCAATGCCATAGAATTGCCATAGAATTTCTGGTTCCTCAAAAAACATTTCAGTGAACAGTTATTAAAAGAAAAAAAAAATTTCTCAGTGTCAAGGACATTTTAATAATCTAAAGAACCTTTTTCCACTAAGAACCTGCAAAGGCTCCATGGATGTTAAAGGTTCTTTATGGAACCACTGAAGCCAATAAAGAACCTTTATTTTAAGAGTACTAAAAGCACACATTTTCCTTAAATTAATTTTGATGTTCTACTGAGATATTTGATCCTTTTGGGAATTTTATTTTCAAAGATCCTGTACACATTCCTTTGAGTTTTTTTAAACTGGTAATTGGTGTCAGACCCGTATAAAAGCATGCTGTATTTATTTTTATATTAAGGCATAGTTTGAATAGTAAGGTCATTTATGGTCACTGTTTGCTCTAAATGGTTGATCAGTTGAGCTGCCAGCTGGTAGATCTGGTTTTGACCTGGTAAATAATACTAGTAAGAGCTGGTAGACCAACTTGGACCAGCAACAAACCAACTAAAACATGCTGTTTTGGTCTGAATGTCATGATTTCTTGTAAGATCGCAGATTCATTGTAACCTTCCTTTCTATTTTTCCAACCTAGGACTTGACACCTACACCCAAACCATCCTTCACTGACACATGATGGGCGTCAAATAAAGAAGAAAACCGAACTAGAGCGCCGGCGATAGATGATGGATGTCAACTACGAAAAAGAGATTTTAGGACTTTTTTAACAAGCAAAACAAACACTAGTGGCTAGAGGCATGATTTCTTATAAAATGAAACCAAACAATGAAAAAAAGCAAGCATTTGAGAAGTGCTTCTTGTAATCTCAATATCAGCATGTGAAAGTGCTGTCGCATGGCCTGCCTTTACATACAGCACTGACTGCAAGCAATTATGAGGTGAGAAAATACTGTCGTACCGCAAGGGCTGTAAAATGGTGTGGGGAAGGACTTTGGCCAACTGGATGTGGTTTGGGGGCACGTGGGACACAAAAGCTAGTTTTAGTCAGTTTTCTGAAATGTAGTCTTCCAAGCGAGTCAGTACTACTGAAAAGGTTTCCCACCAGGAGGAGTCTGACCCTCTTGTACTGGTATTATACATAATATGCACTCAAATATGATGTGAATGTACCTTCTGTGTGCGTGTGTTCTTTTACACAGCCAAAAAAACAAATGACAACAACCTATGCGATGATGCTGCTGCTGCTTCTGTCTCAATACTTGCTCCTGAATTCTTGTTCAGTCCAATAGTACGTGTCTTGTGTATTGTAAAGGTATAATTGTGTAGCAAATGAGCTGTGAAGTCCTGTGTTGCCTCAGATAGACTCAAGAGATACAATTTGTGCAGTTTAAATGTTTTCAGTGGGATACAGTACATTGGGCATACTTTCAAATCACCGTGGGGCTCTATATGTACACGTTTGCAGCGCTGCAGCAAGATTGTTTTTGTTCTGTATACATTGCAAACCTTTGTGTCATATGAGCTTCCTCTCAATAACTTGATATGCACAGAGGAGCTCATATGCATAATATTAACATTTACATTATCCACCATTCGCATTTGCTTTATAGTGGAAAGAGTCCTTAGGAGCAAAAAAGCAATCATTTTAATTTTTCTCGTTATAAATGATTGTTAAAAAGTCTAACCTTTCAGTGAAGTAAAATGTAGATAAAGGCTGTCAGTAGATTCAAATAAGTATTCACAATTAATCTTGTGGTTTGTTTTGTAGGTAATAATTCAACCTATTCCTAAGGAAAGAAAAGAAAAAAATTATGGTGCAAAGATATTTGGTAACACTTTACAATAAGGTACGAAATTTGCTGACATTAGTTAACATGAACTAACAATGAAAACTAAGTGGTTAGGGTTAGGTTAGGTTTAGGGTTAAGTATCTAAAGCATTATTAATTAATCTTAGTTTGTTTAACTTTGGCAGCCCAAAAACCAACATTGTCTTACCTAGACATGACACAAGTGTTGCCATCCCTGCATTTATCACCCTTCTAGTGATTTCTATTCAGTTTTCTCTTTTCTGAGGCCAGTATGTCTAGATTTGAGAGTCTTCCCCAGGATCCTTAATCCTTGCTATACTCTTATACAGTATGAAATCCCTTTTATCCCATGTCCATATATAACTTAAGCCCAAAGTGTACTTTTATGCTTAAATATCATCATCAGCATAGTACGTGCATGCTGTACACACACACAGACTGATGTATATGTTGGGCTTTACTCTACAGGTTTGCAGAGGGATATGAAAGCTTGATTAGTGACCTTGGTTTGCCAATTATTGGCAAAACATTTAATACTAGTATTACTACTACTACTATTACTAATATTCTATATAACTTCACTGAAAGGTTAGATATTTTCTCATCTTTTCAGCATAATAGACATTTGTTTTCATTGTCTTTTTGTTCACCATTACAGATGATGCTAATACTCATGGTGTGCACTATATATTATTTTTAGGGAGAGCAACACACTCTGTATTGTTTCTCATTTTTAAAACCAAACATTTTCATTGATGAGAATAGATGTGTAATATTTTTTTAGGCACTCAACACATGCTTGGCAAAAAGGTGTGAACACTACAGACATCTTTGCCTCTCTTACGCTTGATGAAGACACGTAGCCACTGAGCACTGTGATCAGACTGTTCACTGTCCCACAGCAGAACAGACCTGACTTCATACACGCACACACAGACACTAATTATAATGTGGATTATCTGGACCTGCACTGACGTTATTCTTTTCCACTCGTGTCTTTCTTCAGGAGTTGTTTAGCTACAACAGCCAGTCCAGTTTCCATGCACAGCTCAACACTATATAATATTATGCAAATGGTGATCACTGCAGCACTGGTTGGTCATCATGCAAACAATCTCATTTTAGATCACTTATTTATGTAGCATCTGAACACAGCATACAGCCTTCGACCTGAAATCATCCTTTGAATTTAAAGGGTGAAACAAAATAATCTCAAAAACCTCAAATCAACATCTCAGATGTATGGAAATAAAATTCTGATTCTGATATCATAAGAGCATGATACCAAATATAGGCCATTTATTGTAGCATTGTTATTTAAAGCTTCATTGTTTCTTTGTACATCACGTTCAAGTCACATGAATAACACTGAATCTACATTTTTAAGCATCACTTTTAAAAATTTTTATATTATTCATAGAATCAATTCATATAAGGATGCACATTAATGATAGAAAATAATACATGAATGTCTTCCATTAAATAAAAATATTATTTTATAATATATTATTGTTTTTCAATCATCCATTTTGCCGATGGATTATTACAGTTTTTTTTTTATTAAATTTATTTATTTTGATTTTATTGGGCTTGGATATAAAATTAATTGACTCACTGGGAAAATAATTCCCCAACCATGCACTGAAACTCTTGGATGTAATAATAGAAGTCAACAAGCTCTTTATTCATATCCTATGTGCATTTTTTTTATTTTTTTAAATCAGGTTTCAGATGTTTCTCATTTACGTGGTTTGGGATTTCCAGCACTTAAGGTTGAATTTCTAGGAATAAATGAATGCAGCCACTCTGCTGGCATTGATGGGTCCTCCCTTCAGTCCCTCCCTGAACAAAACTCAAACCGCACAGATCACAGTGGCTGCGTAAAGTATTTGGGCCGGTCCATTCCAGTATGGCAGCAAGGATACGTCAAATTAGCAATGCAGTTGTTTGATGTCTAAGCAATGGTTTAAACAAACCTCTTGCAAAAATGTGAACTGTTGCAAAATGACAGAATATTTATACTCCTATTTACTACAGAATGATCTGAAATCAGTATAAACGCAATAGCATATTACAAAAAAAGGAATGCAAAATGCACACTTGCACAGAAAAGATGTTTTTAATACATCTTTTAATACATATATATATATAATTATATTTAATTAGAATGCTTTGCACTTGCAAGTGGGAATTTATGACCTGCTATTTGGGAATATGGGAATACTTTAATGTCATGGATGTACTTATAGCATCTTAGCAAACAAGACTTCAGGGGGGTGCCTGTGGGAATATAGAAGCATTGTGCTTCTTTAAAGTTTCTTTCGTTTTGTTTATGGATTTATTTTTATCGCTACTATAGGTCTTTGAATCAGACAAGATTTTAAATGTCTATAGAAATATATAGAAATATTCAACCCTGTACACCAGCTGAAGATACATTTACAGAATTAATAAAGAAATAAAAACTCACAAATGGATTTTTGTGGTCACGCTTTTTTACTTACTGTTCTCTTGGCGAATATATTGCATTAAAGGAATAGTTCACCCCAAAATGAAAATGTGCTCAACCTCAGGCCATCCAAGGTGTAGATGAATTTGTTTCTTCATCAGATTTGTAGAAATGTAGCATTGCATCAGTGTCTCAGCAATGGATGCTCTGCAGTGAATGGGTCCCGTCAGAATGAGAGTCCAAACAGCTGATAAAAGCATCCACAAGTAATCCACAGCACTCCAGTCCATCAGTTAACATATTGAGAAGAGAAAAGCTGCAAGTTTGTAAAAAAAAAAAAATTTTCATTAAGACTTTTTAACTTTAAACCGTTGCTTCTGGCTCCATAATCTATAATAACGCTTCCTCCAGTTAGCTGTTTTGGACTGTTTTCACTTGTAAACGGTGCTTGATCTGTGCATATTTCTCTCCTGATTCAGACGAGATGACTTTTTCACCAGAGAAAGCAAGATTATAGACGGAGGACGTATTGATGATGGTTCAAACATTCAGCTTTTCACTTCACAAGACTTTAATTGATGCAATGGAGTCATGAGGAAATCATTCTTTCAATTGCGTAAATAAACTTTAAATCACTCTTGTGCCCCAGGTTTCTTGCATATTGAAACCTTCTATTGGAGAATGAAAACAATAAAGCCTCACAATGCATAATTAAAACAGTATAATTTCAAGCCAAATGCTTATTTTTCCTTACCATGTGATATTTCAGTTTTTCTTTTTTAATAAATCTGCAAAAATGTCAACAATTCTGTGTTTTTCTGTCAATATTGGGTGCTGTGTGTACATTAATGAGGGAAAAAAATTAACTTCAATGATTTTAGCAAATGGCTGCAATATAACAAAGAGTGAAAAATTTAAGGGGGTCTGAATACTTTCCGTACCCACTGTATATATATATATCTTTTTTGTTTTTTTAATAACCCTGAAGCCCTTTTAAGTGAAGCCGCTTGAGATAGTGAACATGTTAACAGGCTCACATCTGGGCTGCCCATGACACAAAGCCTAATAGCAGTTTTATTGTACACAAACCTCGCAGACCACCCAACACTAATAATGACATCTACATAAAGTGTGATGACCCTGACACCTCTACATAACACCCACCCTTCAAATACTTTTCCTTCTTAACAGCTTTTAGTAACACATTCTCACAGCACCCATCCTGGTGGGATTTTGGGACATGAAGATGTGCTTTAATTAGACAAAAGGAGCGAGGCAATGTGTCCATTGAGAGGATCAGAAGGCCTGCAGGCTGACAAATCCATCTGTTTTAACAATAAACCGTCACTTCTGGTCAAAATACCAGGCCATAATCCATACTAATAATTCCTCCGGTAAAAAGGTCCATCCCCTGTTGTCCTCTCGCATCAAAATACACCCACAGGCTATATATCCCAAATCTGTGCATATTTCTCTCCTGATTCAGATGAGAAGACTTTTTCCACTGGAGAAAGCTATATTATGGATAGAGGACTTGTATTACTTGTAACAATTTATAGTTAGTTAAAAAAGTTTTTTTTAAAGTTAAAAACATCTTAATGCTGGATCATCTGTTTTAACAATAAACCGTCACTTCTGGTCAAAATACCAGGCCATAATCCATACTAATAATTCCTCCGGTAAAAAGGTCCATCCCCTGTTGTCCTCTCGCATCAAAATACACCCACAGGCTATATATCCCAAATCTGTGCATATTTCTCTCCTGATTCAGATGAGAAGAATTTTTCCACTGGAGAAAGCTATATTATGGATAGAGGACTTGTATTACTTGTAACAATTTATAGTTAGTTAAAAAAGTTTTTTTTTAAAGTTAAAAACATCTTAATGCTGGATTTGTTTCAGCTTTTATCTTCTCCAGATGTTAACTGATGGACGAGTGCTGTGGATTACTGTGATGTTTTTATCAGCTGTTTGGACTCTCATTCTGACGGCACCCATTCACTGCAGAGCATCCATTGCTGAGACACTGATGCAGTGCTACATTTCTCCAAACCTGATGAAGAAACTAACTCATCCACATCTTGGATGGCCTTTACAGCAAATTTTCATTTTTGGGTGAACGGTTCCTTTGCATTTCAATTATGTGTGTTCAGGTTATAGCCACCAATGTCATCAAGCATTAGAAATGTCAGTTTTACTCACTATAGACATTTCTTTTAAATGTTAAAACATTTTAGAATTTTGCTAATGTATTTAATTAATTTAAAGCACCATTTGAGTAAACCAATATACAAATAAGAAATCACTAGGGCTATACTAAAATGATGATTGCCCAAACAACAGTACAACATATAACAAAGTCAACACAATAAAATACTGAAATAATGTTCCGCTTTATTGTTTTTATATATTTTATATAAAAATGTATCAAACCTGCTGATAATGATTAAAAAAAAACACATTTCACATCACATTTTATCACAATGCATATTTACATTAAGTAAAAATATAGCCTACGCGCCCAAATAAAAAATAAAAATCCCAAATACAAAATATTTACATGAATTTCTTTTAAATATTAAATATTTCCTTAAGTTGCACAGCATTTCAGTGGTTTTTTTTGTTTGGAATTCTCTAAACTCATGTGTTTTCGTTCAAAAACGTAATTATGGAATGTTTTTAAACCTTGTAAGCGTTATTAGAGCAACCCACTGGAAGTGCATCGTCAGAGTTCTATGACAACACAGCAACACACTTCACTGACAACCGCACTCCTCCACGATCATGTCCTCGTGGTGGCGCATGACCACACCATCGCCTTCATAGTACAGCATGGAGAGCGGGCTGAGGCGCGTCGGCACACATGACGGACAGGTGACGCGCTCCGGATGGTAAAGCTTCAACAAACTCTGGAAAAAGAAAGCAAGCAGAACATTATATCACCCTATTTATTTCCGTTAACTACACCTCAATTAAACGCTAAAAAGCTTTTGATTCTTGATCGTTTTGTTTTGGTCGAAGTGGGGTCATTTTTCACCCCACAAAAAATAAATGACATGTTGCATAGCCTATAGAGTAGTAAAAATGAACAATTATGAATTGCATTAAAAATGACATTGTGACAGTACTTTCATTTACAATGACAATTACATTCCCCTTCAGTTTTTTTTATTCTTTTCATCTCAAAGCCAAAGGTTATTCTTAATAGTTTATTATTACAGAAAGATAATGAACATCATCCTGTAAGGATGTTTTGATTCAAATCAACATAAAATTATATGCATTACAACAAATACTGTACTATGTATAAATAGCCCAGCTAACAAAAATATGCTCTAAGAATGTTTTGTAAACTCCCAAAAAGTATGTTTCCATTTTTATATATGTATGTGTGTGTGTGTGTGTGTGTGTGTGTGTGTGTGTGTGAGTGTGTGTGTGTGTGTGTGTGTGAGTGTGTGTGTGTTTGTGTGTGTGTGTATGAACGGTAAGGCAACATTCCATTTTATCGTTTTTATCATGTTACTTTTAAATGTTGTTGGGCATTCTGAATCAAGCAATAACATTTAAAAATGTTTTAAACGTTTTAACGTTTTAGTTGGATGTTTAAAAACATCCAACTAAAACGTTTTAGAAAAAAAAACATTCCATGAACGATGTATAAATAATGTTTTTCTACTAATCTTTTAAGAACATTATTCAGATCAGATAACTTTAAGCGAACATTCTGTTAATGTTCTTAGAACTTTAACTGTTCTAAGAACCTTTGTCAGATTTTGCTACCTCCCATTAAAACAGATGGTAGCATAATTCGATAGCGAAAAGTGCTACCTATCAGATTTTGCTTCCAGCATGATATTAATAAGGTGTGAGGCTTTATTAACATGTACACCTACCCCAACCCTAAACCTACCCTTACAGTAGAATAAATACAGTGTTGGTAGCATAATCTGATAGGTAGCATTATTTGTCAGAACACCGGAACAAGCAAAGTTATGAGAATGTTCCCTGTTACTTTATCATTTAGATCAATTTTATTAATAATTGGCCCCTAATAATAATAATAATAATAATAATTTTAATAATTTTTAGCTATACAATTGTCGCTTTGTAAAATATTTTTTAATTTATATTTTTTTCTTTTGACATGAATGAACTGTTAAGTATCTCACCTGCATATAGGCGTGGTTTGTTGGGTTGAAAGACTCGTCCAGCGGACTTGGGCATTCGCCTTCGCAGCGGTAAGCATTATAACGCTTTGGATGCACGATCCATTCATCCCATCCAATCTGATCAAAATCCACCCACATATCGACTCGCCGACAAAGTGACCCTTGTTGTTGCTCTAGAGGTGTTACTATTCCCGTGGCGTTTCTATCAGCCGTTGCGCGCATCCTCTCGACCCGGTTCCTTTTGTGGCGTCGAGCTTGAGCTGCGTCTGGTGCCCGGTTCAGGACGACATATTTGGAGTGCGCCACAGTACTGATCAAGCTGGAGGCACGTTGTCGGCCAGTGTGGGAAAATTTGTTTTTGTAGAAAACTACAATCATAACTCGTTCTGCAGTGGGATGCTGGATTTTTCGTCGCCAGCTATCTGTAACCGGTTCAGGTAAGTCTTCCCCGCTCCCGGTGTCCTCTCCGTCCTCAGGTGTCTCCGTCCCCTGACTCAACCAGTGCTCGAGTAGCTCTGTGATGTTAAAAACTCTCCAGCCTGATGTTGGAGTGCCGGGCACTGACTTGATGCTACCAATAAAAAGTCGCTTATGGCGACAAAACACAGAGTCAGACTCACAATCCTGTTTGCGTAAGTGGAAGACGTCCACAATAACGCGTCTGGATGCAGAAAACGCTGGCAGACGGACGCGGAGCTCCGAAAGCTGAATGCTGTCGCTCGCTGAGAGGGAAGACGTGTCAAAAGTGACGGTCCATCGCTCGCCAATTTGATGACAGTCTGGAAAATAAACAGAAAATGTTCGTACACTCTTAAAAATAAAGGTGCTTCACGATGCCATAGAAGAACCTTTTTGTCTAAATGGTTCCATAAAGAACCTTTAACATCTGAAGAACCTTTCTGTTTCACAAAAGGTTCTTTGGGGCGAAAGAAGGTTCTTCAGATTACAAAAAGAGATGCTTCTTTAAAGAACCTGAATGGTTCTTCTACGGCTTTGCTTGAAGAACCTTTTGAAGCACCTTTATTTTTAAGAGTGTATCACCTCTTACTAAACAAGGCAGTGGATCGAATAAACCTGCTTAGCATAGATAGAAATCAATGGAGTTTTCAGACAAAAGATCAAAGGTTGACGAAGCGCAGTGAAATGCTCAAAACTATTGGAAGTTTAAGAATTAACGGCCATGCTTCTTAAAATGTCTTTAAAACGTAACGAGTAGGCCTGAAACACTGAAAATCATTTTTAAGGAATCAGATGAAAGTTACAATCAGATTGAAACAGATTTTTAATAACAGACAAGTATGGCTAGAGATTAATTCAATAACACAATATTAGCAATATTAAATGACAATCTGAAAAGAAAGAGAGAGAGATGCTTCTTTAAAGAACCTGAATGGTTCTTCTACGGCTTTGCTTGAAGAACCTTTTGAAGCACCTTTATTTTTAAGAGTGTATCACCTCTTACTAAACAAGGCAGTGGATCGAATAAACCTGCTTAGCATAGATAGAAATCAATGGAGTTTTCAGACAAAAGATCAAAGGTTGACGAAGCGCAGTGAAATGCTCAAAACTATTGGAAGTTTAAGAATTAACGGCCATGCTTCTTAAAATGTCTTTAAAATGTAACGAGTAGGCCTGAAACACTGAAAATAATTTTTAAGGAATCAGATGAACGTTACAATCAGATTGAAACAGATTTTTAATAACAGACAAGTATGGCTAGAGATTAATTCAATAACACAATATTAGCAATATTAAATGACAATCTGAAAAGAAAGAGAGAGGGGGGAAAAAAAGAATGATCTTCCTTTTTCAAAAAAAGAAAAACCTTCATAGTAAGATTCTTGCATTTCTAGTAAAATAAGTAGCCTACTTAATAAGCTACTAAATAAGAACAGGTCATATAAATAAAATATATTAATTTTGTATTGTGACATTATTTTGGTAACACTTTATTTCGATAGTCCACTTTAGACAGTCTATTAACAGTAAGTAACTTTGCAACTACATGTCAACTAGCAGTTAGTAGAGTATTAGTAGACTATCTGCATAATATCTTCTAACACTTTCTTTGTCAACTTATTCTACTAACCCTAAACCTACCCTAAGTCTACTCTGAGAGTTAGTAGACATGTAGTTGCAAATTAATTAGAATTAGTTGACATGTAGTTGACATGTAGTTACAAAGTTACTTATAGTTAATAGAATGTCTAAAGTGGACTAACAAAATAAAGTGTAACCAAAAAGAAAATAATAAGTAATCATTCTTTGAGCAGGTTTGGTGAGGTTCACTCAGTGGCGCAGCATCAGGTTCTGTCAGAGCCAAATGTCAGGACGGACGAGCTGCTTGACAGGAGATGTGTATTGAACCTCTAACAGACGTCTGAAGGGCTAATACACACACCCGAGTACATAAAACAGCCAGCTCTTTAAAAGTCTACTCTGAGAGTTAGTAGACATGTAGTTGCAAATTAATTAGAATTAGTTGACATGTAGTTGACATGTAGTTACAAAGTTACTTATAGTTAATAGAATGTCTAAAGTGGACTATCGAAATAAAGTGTAACCAAAAAGAAAATAATAAGTAATCATTCTTTGAGCAGGTTTGGTGAGATTCACTCAGTGGCGCAGCATCAGGTTCTGTCAGAGCCAAATGTCAGGACGGACGAGCTGCTTGACAGGAGATGTGTATTGAACCTCTAACAGACGTCTGAAGGGCTAATACACACACCCGTGTACATAAAACAGCCAGCTCTTTAAAGTTGAATAAGCATTGTGACACTACTGAGTTGTAAAACCTGCGGGTCAGATAGCTCGAGAGCTGATAAAGAGCCCACAAGTTCCCCAGATGCTGTGGCTTTACTCTTTTACTCTTCTTTAAAACGCATGTGCATTGTTACTAACACGAAAAATCTTGCTTGCTTGTTTGCATTCGGACCTATATTCCTGACAAATTACAAAATGACTTGGTACAGTTCGTATAAGGATGCAATATCATGTTTGGTAGATATAATGTATAGCCTACATTAAATGCAATGTAAGTCGCTTTGGCTAAAAGCGTCTGCCAGATACATAAATGTAATGAAATAGGCTACGAAATATGGTGCTGGTGAATGATTAGTTATGACATGGTTGTGCACTGTAAAAAGTGGCATCCTGATTTACCCCATTAAGTGAGTTTTGCTAGTATACATCGATGCAAATCGATTCAGTGGTTGAATAAAACCATTCAATTTAGATGTGAATTTTCAGTGTACCATGTGACCTTTTTATTAGGTTGAGCACATTTTGCATACAAAAATTAATTAGGCAGGTTAAAGCAAAATGCGTGTTACCTTGCGCAATCAGGCTTAGGACGAAGTCAGACTGGTGAAGAGCTGGGCTGTCGGCACTGGCTGGAGTAGCAGGCATCTTACCGCTTAAGTCTCTGTATAACTGCATCATGTACAGCGGGTACCTGGGATACGACTGGAGACTGAGGTCGGAATATGAACCTACGAAGGCTTTACGATGCTCTCCCACGAGCGCGCCGCGGTTAGAGATCTTTACGCAGCCCGCGTGCATCAGGGAAACCACCAAGACAGCCACTGTATTGATCAAGCTGGAGGCACGCTGCTGGCCACTGTGGGAAAGTTTGTTTTTGTAGAAAACTACAATCATAACTCGTTCTGCTGTGGGATGCTGGATTTTTCTTCTCCAGCTATTTGTAACAGGTTCAGGTAAGTCTTCCCCGCTTCCGGTGTCCTCTCCGGCATCAGGTGTCGGGATCTGTTCAGGTGCCTCGGTTCTCTGATTCAACCAGTGCTCGAGTAACTCCGTGACATTGAAAACTCTCCAGGACGATGTTGAAGTGCCGGGCACCGACTTGATGCTGCCTATAAAAAGTCGCTTATGGTGACAAAACACAGAGTCAGACTCACAATCCTGTGTCTGTAAGTGGAAGATGTCCACAATAACGCGTCTGGATGCAGAAAACGCTGGCAGCCGGATGCGGAGCTCTGAAAGTTGAATGCTGTCTCTCGCTGAGAGGGAAGACATGTCGAAAGTGACGGACCATCGCTCACCAATTTGATGACAGTCTGGAAAATAAACAGAAAATATTTGAATCCCCTCTTTAGCTACACATTAGGTCAAATAAACTTACCCAGCATAGAAATTAATGGAGCATTCACACAAAATATGATTTCTTGCATTCAAAGGTTGACGAAGCACAATGAAATGCTCCAAACTAGCTATTTTAAGAATTATCTGACACTTTTCTAAAAAAAAAAACTTTTTTAAAAACCCGTTAATTAAGTGACATTTTCTGAAAAGAAGAAAAAAAGAATTATCTTCCTTTAAAAAAATGTTCAAACTCGATCATTGCATCGATTTGCTTCTAGTAATAGTCCTATTTTAACTTAATAAGAACGCGTCATGTGTGAACATCCCCTAAGTCATTGACAAAATGTTAAGTAAATAATATAGCCAAATAAATTATTATAATTTTCATAAAGAAAATGAAGCCTAAATGTAGAATGTCTAACTTCTTTTGAATTGTGCCACCTTTTGTATTCAGCATAACTAAATTGACCTTTTCTCAATTACTGTAGGCTAATAAAGTTTTACTTTTACACTTCCCATTACTTTTAGAGATTATTAAAAAATTCTTCATTTAAATTCGGTAGTGAAATGTAGTCAGTTTATTTTCACCAGGCTTCATGAGTTTGATTCAGTACCGCAACAAGAGTTTCTGTCAGCGTGGCCAAATGTCAGCACACTGTCAGGAAGGACGAGCTGCTTGACAAGCGATGTGTATTGAACCTTGCGTTCAAACAGACGTCTGAAGGGCTAATACACACACCCGTGTACATAAAACAGCCAGCTCTTTAAAGTTGAATAAGCATTGTGACACTACTGAGTTGTAAAACCTGCGGGTCAGATAGCTCGAGAGCTGATAAAGAGCCCACAAGTTCCCCAGATGCTGTGGCTTTACTCTTTTACTCTTCTTTAAAACGCATGTGCATTGTTACTAACACGAAAAATCTTGCTTGCTTGTTTGCATTCGGACCTATATTCCTGACAAATTACAAAATGACTTGGTACAGTTCGTATAAGGATGCAATATCATGTTTGGTAGATATAATGTATAGCCTACATTAAATGCAATGTAAGTCGCTTTGGCTAAAAGCGTCTGCCAGATACATAAATGTAATGAAATAGGCTACGAAATATGGTGCTGGTGAATGATTAGTTATGACATGGTTGTGCACTGTAAAAAGTGGCACCCTGATTTACCCCATTAAGTGAGTTTTGCTAGTATACATCGATGCAAATCGATTCAGTGGTTGAATAAAACCATTCAATTTAGATGTGAATTTTCAGTGTACCATGTGACCTTTTTGTTAGGTTGAGCACATTTTGCATACAAAAATTAATTAGGCAGGTTAAAGCAAAATGCGTGTTACCTTGCGCAATCAGGCTTAGGACGAAGTCGGACTGGTGAAGAGCTGGGCTGTCGGCACTGGCTGGAGTAGCAGGCATCTTACCGCTTAAGTCTCTGTATAACTGCATCATGTACAGCGGGTACCTGGGATACGACTGGAGACTGAGGTCGGAATATGAACCTACGAAGGCTTTACGATGCTCTCCCACGAGCGCGCCGCGGTTAGAGATCTTTACGCAGCCCGCTTGCATCAGGGAAACCACCAAGACAGCGAACAATACGATTGGCTGAGTTTCCATTGCGAATCAATGAAGTTTTCAATTGTGAACCGATCGACCGCGTCCGATTCCTCCTCCTGGCTCGTCTGAGGTCCGAGTGATCGGGGTGGCCGAGCTGTGGACAGTGCTTTTAAAGCGTGCAGCTGGCCCCTGGTGACCTCTGTCATCTTGGAGCGTGCGCGGAATCCCTCTGATCCATGAGGCACATCAGAGGAGAGCGGAGCTGTCAAGTTCACTGCTTCTCGAAACTGCGCAGGCTTTTATTTGCGCGAGGCGTGACACTCGTCTGCTCCAACGTGACAGCGACATCCTTTGATTCTGGGCCACCCAAAGTTAAACCATCTTGTTGATTCAAAATTGTACATGTTTTTTTTTTTACCAGCGAAATGTCTACACTCTTAAAAATAAAGGTGCTTCAAAAGGTTCTTCAAGCGATGCCATAGAAGAACCATTTTTGGTTCAACAAAGAAGCATTCAGTCAAAGGTTCTTTAAAGAACCATCTCTTTCTTACCTTTTTATAATCTGAAGAACCTTCAAAGAAGCTTTTGTGAAACAGAAAGGTTCTTCAGATGTTAAAGGTTCTTTATGGAACCATTTAGACAAAAAGGTTCTTCTATGGCATCGTGAAGCACCTTTATTTTTAAGAGTGTACTTTGAAATCAAATTAGGTATTTATTTATATGTTAAATGCCCATGCGATACACAAGCAGTTACTCAGCTATTCTGTAGTATTAAAATAATGGTAACACTTTATTTTAAGGACCAATTCTCATTATTAACTAAGTATGCATATTACTAGTATATTGGTACTTACGAAGCGCATATTAATGCCTTATTCTGCATGAGCATATTTTAGATCCCTTGATCCACCCCATACCTAAACTTAACAACTACCTTGAGACATAAGTCATGGTTAATAGTTAGTTAATACTGAGAATTAGTTCCAAAACTAAAGTGTGACCAAAAAATATATATTATACAACTATTTCAGACTATATACATTATATACTACTATATATAATATATATTACATAACTGTTCTATTTAATATTATAAAAGTTAGATAGATAGATAGATAGATAGATAGATAGATAGATAGATAGATAGATAGATAGATAGATAGATCCTTCGCTACTGGAAAGTTCATCAAGGAATGTCTTGCAGTGGCTGCAGAAGCAGTGTGTCCTTCTCAGGTGCGGATGTTCTCACAAATCAGCCTGTCAAGAAATACTGTTACCCGACGCATAGAGGACATGGCACTAGACATCGGCAAGCAAATCAAGGCAAAGGCAGGTGCGTTCTCTGCCTTTTCAATAGCCTGCGACGAGAGCACCGACGTATCTGATTCTGCACAGCTGTTGGTATTTTTTTATGTGGAGTAAATGAAAATTTTGAAGTGACACAATAGCTGGCTGGCATTGAGACCCTTTCTAGTACTACTAAAGGAGAAGCTCTTTTTTTGCTGTTGAGAGAGTGTTGAAAAAAAAACGAATTAAAGTGGGAGAAGATGGCTGGCATTACAACTGATGGAGCACCGGTGTAGTGCCAAAATTTGCACCCTGCCAGATTATGCACCCCCTCGTTGAAATCGCTACCTGATTGCCTAATCCCAACCCCACCCCTAATCCTAACCCCTCCTAACCCCTCTCCCATATCCCACACCTACTCCTAAACCTACCAATACTAGGGGGTGCATAATTTGGCAGGGTGCAAATTTCGGCACTACACCGGCAATGATAGGGAGGAAATCTGGCCTTGCTGGTGACTCAGAAAGTCAGTGAATGTGGAGGAAAAGTTGTGACGTACCACTGCATTTTACATCAGGAACAGCTATGTGCAAAATCTGTCTGGCTTGTGGATGTGATTCAACAATATATGCTCTAAGGTGCTTTCTCACCGACTGTTCAAGGCACTGCTGGATGAGATGCGCAATACGTCTGAGCCGAGGAAATGTTCTCAGGAGATTTTTTTGAGCTTTTTGAGAGTTATTCAGGAAAGCGAGAATGGTAATATTCAAGTGCCCACTGATAAGAAATGGCTCTCTGACCTGGCTTTCCTTGTGGATGTCACAAAGCTGCTCAATGTTTTGAATGTTCAGCTCCAGGGAAAAGACCAGATTATCACCCAGCTTTCTGATCACTTCAGAGCCTTAACAGTTATAATATTCAGAATATTTTATGTGCAGTTATTATTATTATTAATTATATTTGGATATGTTTATATGTGGAGTTTGTATTTATAGTCAGTCGTGTAAGCATTGGTATTTTTGTTGTGCATCAAGCTGATCAAATTCGCCTTAAAGTTTCTTAAATTGTCATGAATTAACAGATTTCCTTCTTTTGTCATTTATTTATTTTGTTTTCCTCCCTCTGTTTTCACATGCCTGCTTTGCTCTTGTTTCACTCACACTCTCACATTGTTCCCCTTTCTTTCTCTGTTTCTCACCCCACATGCAGGAAATTTAGCCCATTTTCCCTGTCTTCGAGAGGTAGGCATGGTGAAAGAGGAGGTCCCTGAGTATGATGCTGTTCTCAGCAACCTTATCCAGGAGTTGGACAGTCGCTTTGAGGACTTCAGACACAACACTACTGACTTTGAGGTAACCCTTCACCATCGGTGTGGATACAGTCAGTGATGACCTTCAGATGGAACTAATTGAGCTTCAGTGTGATTCAGAACTGAAATACAAGTTCAGGTCCCTTCCTTTGACAGACTTCTCCAAATGTGTCCCAGCAAACAGGTACCCAAAGACATGCAAACAGGTGCAAGTGATGCTGTCTCTACCTCTCTGAGCAGACTTTCCGTCTGATGAACTTGAACAAGTGTAAACTGCGAAGTAAACTAACTGACTCTCACCTACATAATACCTTGTCTTTATCTATGTCAGCCACAGCCCAATCTGGAAAAAAAACTTTTGAAAAATAAGGACCAGCTTCATATCTCTCATTAGAGGTCACTGACATCGCAAGCACATGGTTTTATTCCTTACAATTTGTCTAGTGTGTTCGGCATTGAACTCCATTGTATTATAAAAGTGATGGTTTGTTTTTATTGTAATAAGTTCATTGAACTATAAAACTTGAAAAAAATAAAGCTGTCGTTTTAATGTGGCACACAGGTGTACTATAGAGGAATCCCACCAGTGATAGGAAAGGATCCTATGATACAGTTCTGACACAATCCTTTTGGACAAGAGCAGCTTTAGCAGCAACCTCTGGGACCAGGGAGGTTAAGAGAGGAGCTCTGGGACTGGAGCAGCTTGGACACCAGCTCTGGCTGAGGCTACGACTGGTAACACTGACGGCCTTGGCTGGAACTTCTTTGGCAGCCATGGCATGAATCACTGCACCATAATGAGAGGAACCTTTATGGTGAACGTGACGGACATTAGTGTGACCCTGTCTGTCATGCCATGCCAGGAACCTCTGAAAAGCTTTGCAACTGGGGCTGCCATAACACAGAGCTCTGGAGCTGTAGTGGGTTTTGGGGTTGCAGCAGCAGGAACCTGCAGGCCGGGACAAGAAGCTCTGGGATCAGGGAAAATGTGCACTGTTGAGTGACCATTGTGGTGCCTTTGATTCAGCCCTCTCTGACCTCAGCAGGTTCTGGAGCAGCACAATCAGGAATATTTAGGGTGGCATTCACAGTGATTTCTGGAGATCCTGACAGGATCTTTGGAACCTGTTTGGCAGCAGTGTGATGGGACCTCTGAAAAAGCTGTAAAGTGGGCATCCTAGAGCTTTTAGAGCTTTCCTCTCTCGGGCCTCAGCAGCATCTGGACAGGAACCTGTATGGCAGCCTTCACTGGACTCTATTATTATTACTCTATTATTAAAATATGATAGGATCTACACATCATTCTGCAAATATTAACATGAAATGTAGATTGATTACTATGCTTACTACATTTATAGTAGCATTTTTTCTGGGGCGTTATAGTGAAAGAACATGAATCACTTTTTCTTGTGTTTAATTTTGGAGGCAAGGGGGATGCTCCTATAACACATTTGTTTCCCCTTCTAGGGAACTTGCGCTGTGTCCTCTAGTGGACACTTTGGGGAATGCTCCCAGCATGACCGTTGTCTGAAGCACGTGTGAAAAAAACGCCAATCCTATTGGTCCACATGGCCCGTGACATCATAGGTGGGTTCCCGGAAGTATAAAAGGGCACGTGCTGAATACGTCACCAACTTTTGTTGTCTTTAGCAGTTTGTTTGAAGTGCGTGTGAAAGACCAAGGCAGGTGTAGAAAGTGTGTGCCTCCGTTTCCAAGGTTTCAGACACTCTTTTTAGGATCCCACGGATATTTAGTCGAGCAGCGCCTTAGGGAATATATGGCTCTGTGTTTGGATTCTAACACTCAAGGGCATATTCTGCTTTTGCATAATTGTCTCGGCGAAGAGCACATGTGTTCAGTATTACGTGCTCATTGTAATGAGGCACAATGGCCACGTACACACTGCAGCTAAATTCGGTTGTCAGTTCACCTTTTACTCCTTAATCGCGCTCTAATTACTTTGCTCTGGAATATAGCGGTCTGAAAGCAGCTGTATTCTAGCCTGGCTTCTAAGACTAGGTTGGGTTCCCCTTGGCACAAGCTCTCTCAAGTAAGCGCTGAGTCTTTGTCTAGAAATCTGCTATTCGAGGATAGCTGTGTTCCAGCTCAGAGACTGCTCCCCTTGTTGGGGTTTTCCTTGAGCCCCTTGCCTAGACTATTCTGTCTCACCTGTTTGGGTTTAAGTAGACAGCCCACTGGTGATGGTCTTGGAAATTGCAGTGGTCCCCTTTCCTAGAGCCTAGATATCTGAGGATAGCTATGTGCCATCTCAATGATTGCTCCCCTGCCTAGGGTTTTTAAGTAGATGTCTCCTGAGCCCTGGCATAGACAGTGCTGTCTCCCCTCTTAAAGGTTGTAAGTAGACAGCCCACTCTCTGTGGTCTGGGCAGTTTCAGTTGGTCACCCTTCTGGGAATGGCAATGGCCCAACCAGGTCATTCCTTCTGCACCGATAAAACCTATTC